AAGCTGCGATTATTTTAATCGCGGCTTCATTTCCCTCTTCCAATCTGGCTAATCTACATGCCTCCGTCGAAGGAGGCATGTAGTCTAGACACACCCTATGAAACAAAATAGTCTACAGCCTAGTAGGGATGTCAACATGTAGTCAACTACACAATTAACCAATAAGCCTAGGCTTATCAGTTAATCCTATCAAGTACAAGCACTGCCCCACCCCCACTTTGCTGCCTCTGATAGGGAGCCAGTGTGTGTGGGAGAGCTGCCCTCATGGACTGGCTCCCACTTGCCACCCCGCCCTACTGCCTCTGCATCAGAGGTAGCAGCACAGGATAGCAGGGGGTTTCCCGGAGTAGAGCTGGGAGCACACTGGCTCCTGTCCCTGTCCTCAGGGACTATCGAATAATCATGTAACCGACAAAAAATTTGGTGATGTTACATGATTATTCAGTTACATGATATCTAACATCCCTACAGCTGAAATGAGCCTGCAATAGAATTTTATTGGAAAAGAATCCACAAGAAAGGGATACAGTGTCTTTCAAATAGGAACACAATGACTTTCAGATGTTACAACATAATAAAAGGACCACTAGGCATGTGACGCTGGCAGAGTGAGTTACTCAACCTGTGTTTTCTTCATTTGTTTCTTGCCCCTCTCTCCAACATTAGCTCACCAGCTTTCCTGAGTCACTTACTGCAACATTTTTGACCTGTGGGCCTGCAAACCACCGCAGCTGGTCTAGCACAGCCTGGAACACTTCTGTTTTGTAGGAATCCAACTCAGCCACGGCTTTTTTCAGCACCACTTCTACAGAGCTCAGGGTGCAGGCTGCACCAAAGATAATACCTGCAAGGGAGAAGAACAGAATTTTTGCCAGCAGCCCAAGTGTACATTTCCCAGGAAAGTTACAGAGAAAGGGGCATGAGGTACTGCATTCTGTCCATAAAAAGTTTTTGTTCATTGATTTGCTAATGCCATCTTCTGGCTGAACCACACCGGCCACCACCAACAGGCACTCGCACAAATTGCATCCACCACTTACAAACTACATCCCCTCCCCTAGCATTCCCCCCACCACTCATATGCCAGCACTTACTGGGGGACCCAATGCCTCTGGGAATAGCTAATGAGCGATAAAACCTCTCGCTCATAGGCTGTCAGACCCATATAAAGATTGTTCCTATCAAATGGGAGCCCCTATCTGAGATGAGATTAGTGGATGCCAATTCCAACTCTACCCTAAGAAACTGAGTATGATTCTTTATATGAACTAGCCAATTAGCCCATCATAAGACAGGATGTTCAGGTCTCTTCTCCACGTCGGTCTTCTCTCCTGAATCTCCGGTCTCTCGCTCCATGTCTCTTTCTCTCTCTTTCTCTCTCTCTCTCTCTCTCTCTCTCCTCCTACTGCCTCCCCCCCCTCTCCGCTCTCCTCTCCCCCCTGCCTCTCTCTCCATCTCTCTCTTTCACTTCTCCTCCCCCTCCTGCCTCTCACTCGTGGGACCGTGGAGCCCAAATGGCCGTTTGGGCTCTGCACTCCCCGTGCTGCATGGGGGAAGTGGAGCCCAAACGGTCACTTGCTCCCACACGGCGGCCTGGACCATCTCTTTCTTTCTCTTCTCCCAACTCCTGCCTCTCACTCTCCCTTTCTCTTCTTCTTCTCCTCCTGCCTCTCTCCGCTTCATCTCTCCCTGCCCCCTTTCCCCTTCCGCTGTGGTGCTCGGCTGAGTGCTGTGCCGCTCAGCCGGGCCACTGCAGTGGCGCAAGCGGCCGTTTGGGCCCCACACTCCCCATGCAGCACGGGCTGCCCAGAAAGAACAGCCAGCATTTCAGGCAACAGCGCCCCCCCAGAGGGAACAGCCAGCATTTTGGCGTTACAGACTCACAGACACTGGGCTAATATATATATGATTCCTAGGCTCATCAAAGCGGTGAAGAACTGCACTGGACCATGGATACTGAATTACTCCTAGGGGCATGTCTACACTGCAACAAAAGACCCTGTCTGAGCCTGAGCCCAAGCCTTACTCTCTTGTAACCACCCTGCAATTGTGTCATTCAAGGGCTCAGACACAGCCCCAGGACCCTGCAGGGCTAGAGGATCCATGTTCAAGTTATGTCCCGACTTCAGTTGCCCTGCTTGATACTTCAGCCAGAAGTATCCCACAGTTCCATGGGACAACATCCTTACTCCTCTATTTCCCAAGAATCTGCAACTCACTCTGTTGGAAATGAAAGCCAACCCAGCTTTGCAAGCGGCAGTCACTCAGGTCAGCCTTAACCCATTCTGTTTGGATCCTCAATCTGCAAGCCCACTATCAGAGAGCCTCCCGGACAGGAGGCACAAACTGACTGTGCCTTCTGCAAAGCAATCTGCTTCCTGGTAATGTGAAAGGTGGGCAGTAACATTTGCCCACCATGCACCTTAGCCCTACAGCAGCCATATTGGGGGGGTGGGGAGGACAGGGAGCACTAGGGACTCTGAGTTATGGTCACTTTGGCTTGGGCCTGCATCCTGCAGTGTGGATGCCAGAGCTTTATTTTCAGTCCTGGGTTAGGGAAGTCTTAACATAGAGCTAATATACAATATAGATGCTTTACACCCAGGGCTCCCCAACATGGATCAACAAGCTCAAGTCCCACCAACTCTGCGCTACCATTACATAGCTCTAGCGGTTGAGGCATACTGGCAGGGCAGAACTATGGGAAGTTTGCCCTGCTTCTGCCATCCAGATAAACTCAGGACGTCGTTCACATGGGCTATTAATGCAATGCTTTATAAGTTCAATTTTTTAAAATGGAAGACTATGGTCCCTTGCAAATTAGTTAATCTCAGAATAATGAAGATGGGCTTATGCATGCTACCCTTACACATGCCAA